ATAATAACCCAGCATGGTTTTCCATGAAATATCATAATCATAGTTATGGGAATTCTGTGACAGACATAGAGACAGGCAGAAGCTTGTACCTCGCAACTGTAGCTTACAATTAGATAAGGTAAATAACTGGCGATAATGTCTCAAAGATCCCAAAAAAAGGCGGACCTTTACTATCGTAGAGCATCTACAAAAGCTATGCCTCCTAGAGCATCAGCATCAGCAGAGTGAACATCATGGTAGAATCCCTATCGAAGAGTTCAAACAAAAAAAGTAATTTTTTATTGTCCATAGAGCGAGATGGATTCTTCAACCACATCAGCTCACGCCAGATGCAGATATAGCAAGAACACTAAGAAAGTCACGAAGGCGTTTTTTGGTTATTCACCATCTACAACGATAACTCGACAACTATCCTACGGAATAGCTTGAGCGTTGTCAATGATGCCCCGGCATAAACCTCCTCCTGATCACTTCCCTTTCCTCCTTTGCCCTCCATTTCTCCCATTCCCTTCAAACATGTCTGATGAGATACTCAATGTCTGGCGCTCCAAGTATGTTCTGCATTTCAATTTTCAAGACGAAGTCGAATAAGGATGGCATGAACAGCAGGCTCAGGCTGAGCACAGTCAGAACGGGAAGCCCAATCACAACGTCATTGTTGTACTGAATCACGTCAACGGCAGTGTGTCGATGTAACTAAGGCAACCAACAAGCTTACCTCCCTCATTGCTTTATTTCTCCTTTTTCTTTGTGCTTATCTTATTAACAAGTGCATTTTAGATTTTGCCCATTCTTTTCAGTGTAGGGTCTATTTTTTAAGACAACAACTTGATTTAGCTGTTGTTTACTGGTATTCAGGAATGCTGGACGACAGGACAAACATTTCCTTCAGATTTCATTCACTTATGAGCCCATTCCTGCAAGAACATTCCCACTCCCTCATTTTTTTCATGTACATATCTCCGGATAATCATGGAATCCTTAGTCTCCTGCCTGATATCCTTCTTTTCAGATGTTTTGTTGCAAAAGGAAAAATCACTCACGAAAGTCTGGCACTTCGTCATCACAGGCAGCTGTCTGTCCAGGTCACAATCAACCATGCCGAGGTTTCCTCACTGAGGATCGCCAACAAACCAATCCATCTTCTCAGTCTTCTAATGATCATCGTTCCAATTCTGCTCCTCAAATCCATGTCGTCGAAGATCTTCCATGCCCTGTATCGTTCTATCCAAATAATGTCTATGGTCAAGGATTAGAAAGTGATTGGGGGAATCGTGTCGACGTAAGAATGAACATGATTTTGGATGGGCCCAATTATCATTCTCCCATGAGGGATCCGACTGTTCCTCTACCTCCTGGAGCAGTAGTGGTTCAGGTAAGTGCTGTACAGCCAACGATTATTCATAATTTAATTTATTTATTATTTTTCTTTGTTTTTAATATTTTCATGCTTTATATTTTAGTTTTATTTATGTTTTCACAAACTTGTTGTTATATTCATTTCGTTTCAACGTTTACGCTCCGAATTTCGCTTTTTCCAGATCATTCAACCTTCAGCACCTCCTCTATCGCCACCACATCAGCCTCAACAACTATCACTTCCTCTGTATCCACGATTACCACCGTTAGACCAGAACTACGCCGATCAACAAATGGCTATTCAAAAATAAATTATTTTATAGGAGTTTGTATAAACAGTTCATTTCAACACCCACGAGGGCGTATTCTCTCAGTGCAATACTTTATTAATCACTTCATTATTTGCAAGTTGACCGCCCCCCATAGAGGGTAAACCCATTTTTTCCCGAGTTATTCATCAATGGAAGAAAATACATTATATTTTTGAATAGACAGTATCAATTTTTTATCGTGTCCTTCGAGAGATTATGAACATGGTCAGGTGGATGCTTCAATTCCAACTTTCGTTAGGAATCTATGGCGTTCGACAGCTTTCTGTAGTTGATTTTTTCCGTGAAATCACAGGAGCTGAGCTCTTCGTTGGAACTCATTTTCATGTCCTTGTTTCTAAGACTTGCAAAAAAAATCTGGTATCGTGTAGAAGGATCACTGAATTTCAGGCTCATGTGACTTTCACATAGCTCAAGAAATTATAATAACAAAAGTGTGTTCCTTTTTTAGAAATCATCAAGACATCATTCGAGTGAAACCAGATGAAGTTCTTTTTGTTTGTTACTTCGCATTTCACTCCAGAAATTCATTGAAGTAAGCTCATTACTGTTGTGCGACAACTCTAAATTGATGTTTCCTAACGATTGATCCTTTACGATGAAGGGTAGGCACCGTAGTAGGTAGCCTGATCACTCGCTGTGGGAATGACCACAGTATATGCCAACGTCACCGGCACGTCGAAATGGCTCGACTGACGTGTCAGGGTCATCTTCCTTGGGAAAGATTGAGGAGCAGTGGGCTTGAAGGGATGACCGACTCATGCTTCTAGCATACTCCAACGTCATGTGCTTCATACACTCTATACCCAACGTGTAATCAGCACACTTCAACTGAAGAGCTTTCCCGAGTGGGTGCGGTAGTGGCTCTTATTCCCATGACGGCAAAGCCCGCTACCGCGGTTCGCATGATCCAAAGGCAGAACGGATTGGTTAGTTAGATCCCTGTCACTACTTAAGTGCAAGGTTTATTATTTTACTTCTTGCAAATCAATCTTAGCGGTAGTGCCATGGAGCTCTACTTCTATTTGGTTAGGGAGGAACCGAAGTAGCAGTCAGTCAGTCAGGAACTGTTAAATATCATATTTATCCGATTCGCCAATAGGTATGGGTTTCCTTGATTGATGACTGACCAACTGAGTTTTGTCAGTAAGAAGATTCTAAATGATCCTGTCCGCTAAGATGTACTTTCACGCTCAAAGCCACTTTGTAAAAAAATTTGATAAAACGTATCAATTTCTGGCAACTGCGCTTCTTCACAGGAGGCTCTGCAGAGGGAATCTTTGTTCCAAATGTTTTTTATCAATGTATAGTTGCCTCATAGGATCCGGCTAAATACAAATAGTCATTCATTATAACTGCAAATGGTATCATTTACTATTCATATTCACTGTCAGTGCCATATATTAAAGTGCAGGTGTACTACTGTCATGCTCCAGATGACGTGATCAAAACAGAAGAAGTATGGAAATAAAGGTGGGAAAAATTAACGAATTTGGAAGACATTAAAGAAGGACGCCGATAAAAAGCTATCGTCTTAAGGATCAGGTCTTCGTATGCCTTTCTGAATACCGATCATGTTGCCAATGATGTCGTACAGTGTCTCCCACGCATGAGATATTTCAGGAGTTAACTGTCGGTTCATACAAATATTCAGCACTTCCAGCAGTCCTGGTACCATATGCTTCAAACAAAACTTTATCTGCTGCCTGTCTACTCTATCCACATACTTACCTCGATATGAAACTTACAAAT